TGCAGGGTTTTACACTGCAGAGTCCCTGTTTTGGGGTTTAGGGTTTAGGGTTTAGGGTTTAGGGTTTAGGGTTTGGCCTTAACACTTGGTAGCCCAGTAACCATCTTATGACAAGGGTGCCCTTGCTTTGGTTGGTTACTTTGATAAGGGAACCACGAACCCAAAAAAAGTAGGGTAAAGGGCATCACTGGGCTACCCTAGACCCTAGACCCCAAACCCTAAACCCTAAACCCTAAACCCTAAACCCTAAACCCTAAACCCTAAACCCTAAATCCCAAGGAATGACCAGAGCCTGCCTGCAGCAGGGAGGTGAAGCTGGGTGAGATCGTCGGGGGCTGGAAGGAGGGCCTGCCGTCGAGAAGGGAGGCACGCCGGTGGCCGCTGGCGAGACCCTAAACCTTAAACCCTAAACCCTAAACCACAAACCCTAAACCCCAAACCCCAAACCCCAAACCCTAAACCCTAAACCCTAAACCCCAAACCCCAAACCCTAAACCCTAAACCCTAAACCCTAAACTTCACGTCCGGAGGCCCAGACGCCCCTCCCCCCGCAGAAAGCACCACGGAAGCCCTCGAAGCCCGAAAGCGCGGAACCCCCTTCCACCAACAAAGAAGGGAAGGGTTTAGGGTTTAGGGTTTAGGGTTAAGAAGGGAAGGGTTTAGGGTTTAGGGTTTAGGGTTTAGGGTTTAGGGTTTAGGGTTTAGGGTTTAGGGTTTAGGGTTTAGGGTTTAGGGTTTAGGGTTTAGGGTTTAGGGTTTCGGGGTTAGGGTTTAGGGTTTAGGGTTTAGGGTTTAGGGTTTAGGGTTTAGGGTTTAGGGTTTAGGGTTTAGGGTTTAGGGTTTAGGGTTTAGGGTTGAGGGTTGAGGGTTGAGGGTTGAGGGTTGAGGGAGGGCAACCAAAATATGTGTTAGCACCATTTCAAGTGACAGCGCTCAAGGTAAAACTGAACTATCGCTTGCTAAACACTAAAAATGTCCCAATACACAGAAGGCTAATATGCTACTCAGACTAAGAAGAAGATCGAAATAGCACTAGTACAGACACAGCGGGAATGATACCAACACCACGCACAAAACTAGGTTGGCTCTAGGGTTTAGGGTTTAGGGTTTAATAGGACCCTCCTAAGCCGAAATATCGGAACACATAGAACGCCCAGTCCAGGGGCGAGGGTTCAGGGTTTCGGGTAGGTTGGGTCTGAAGGTTGAGTGTCTTGGGGTTGAGGGACCCGAAGCCTAAACCCTAAACCCTAAACCCTAAACCCTAAACCCTGGTAAGTGGCATGAGAACCTGGCCTAAGGTTCAGCCGCACGGGCTGCAGCACTTGCAGGAAGCGCCTGTTTAGGGTTTAGGGGTTTAGGGGTTTAGGGGTTTAGGGGTTTAGGGGTTTAGGGGTTTAGGGGTTTAGGGGTTTAGGGGTTTAGGGTTTGGGGTTTAGGGTCTGCGCAAGGGACTCTGGCAAGGCTCTTTGAGGCTTTTCTGGGTTTTCTTAAGGGCTTTTGTCGGGTTGTTTGGGCTTTGGGGTTTTGAGGTTTCAGGGTTTAGGGTTTTAAAGGTTTTTGGTTTCAGGGTCTGGGCTGTTTAGGTGTTTGATGCTTTTAGGTTTCATGGCTTTCTCAGGTTTCGGGCTTTGTTCCACATGGTTTCCCGAAAATGCCCCATCGGGGGAGATGTCCATGAGGCTGGCAGAATATCCCTGGGGTCCCCCCACCGAAGCAGGAATATGCCGGGCTCCCTGATTAAGTCTTATCTAGGAATAACTCAACATACCCCAAACCCATACCCCTTAACTTATAGAAGGAAGTCTTTCAAGGGTATGCCCCAGGGGGTATGTTGAACATTTCTTAGATCTTCGCCCTAAACCCTACACCCCAAACCCCTTAGTCTGGGGTAGGTTTTTAGGGTTTAGGGTTTAAGGTTTAGGGTTTAGGGTTTAGGGGTTTTTTAAACAGGAACCCTAGGACCTCCAGAGACAGAGAAACAGGCACACGGGAGATACAGGGTTTAGTGTTTAGGCTGTAGGGTTTAAGGTTTAGGGTTTAGGGTCGAGGCTTTAGACTGTAGTGTAGAGACCCAGAAGCCCCAAGAAAAGAGACTCTCGTACTGGTACCCAGTTCCCCCTTGTTCGGAGCGCTGCCTTGTTACCCTAACCCTGAGAGTCTGAAAGAGGGTATCCCCTCACAAGCCCTACACCTCAAAACGTAGGTGGGGGGCTCCAGAATTTAAGGTTTAGGGCTCCGGATTTAGAATCTGAAGCCCTGACCCTAAACCCTAAACAGTAAACCCAAAACCCTAAACCCTAAGCTCGCCAGGCGGGCTCTTCGATCTCTTTCCGGGCCAGGCTCTTGCCGATGAAGACCTGGAGACGCGCAGCCGAAAGCCAAGGCTCAAGTACAGGATTTGGAATCCTATACACCCTAAACCCTACACCCTAAACCCTATACAGTAAACTCCAGAAGGTTGGAACATGGGGGTGTTAAGGGTTGAGGTTTGCAGTCTGGTTCTTGAAAAACGGCGCACACCATAAGGCATAGGGTATATACCCGAGTAGACCCCGGAAAACAAGTATATACTTTCCAGGTATAAGTAGCTATGATAGGAGCCCAGAACCAAAGGAAGTATTAAAGTATAGTACTCCAAAACCCAGTATAAGAGGTAAACCCCTAAACCCCTAAACACTGAACCCTAAACAATCCCCTAAACCCCTAAGCCCCACAAAACCAGGCCGGCCGCGCCATCTTGCTCACCTTCTCCTCGCCGTCGGGCCAATCTGGTCCTTCGGACCTCTGGCTTGTTTGGAGGGTTTAGGGTTTAGGGTTTAGGGTCTAGAGGGTCACTGTTCTAGAGGGGGTTCCAGGCTTAGAAAAAAACCCACCCGCCCAAAGAATCCCATAACATTAAGAACATAAAAGGTTCTCATCCAACTCCCAGAGAGTTTTGCCTACCAACTCCTAAACCATGAGGCGCCAAACCCTGAAGCCCTACACCCTGAAGCCCCAAACCCTGAGGCCGAAAAGTCACCAGCCGAAAGTCACCAACACTGGTCCAGATTGACCGAAAAGTCACCAACGCTGGTCCAGATTGACCGAAAGTCACCAACACTGGTCCAGATTGATCGAAAAGTCACCAACACTGGTCCAGATTGACCGAAACGTCACCAACACTGGTCCAGATTGACCGAAAAGTCACCCACACTGGTCCAGATTGACCGAAAAGTCACCAACACTGGTCCAGATTGATCGAAAAGTCACCAACACTGGTCCAGATTGACCGAAAAGTCACCAACACTGGTCCAGATTGACCGAAAAGTCACCAACACTGGTCCAGATTGACCGAAAAGTCACGAACAACAGGGGGCAGATGGACCGAAAAGTCACGAAGGTTTAAATCTATATATGATAGAGAGGGTTTAGGGCTTAGGGTTTAGGGTATAGGGTTTAGGGTGCGTTGACTTGGGGCTTTGAGGGTTTGGGCGGGAAAAAGAGGTTAACCTTCTTTCTTCCTGCAAAGGAAGTAGAAAAGCCCCAACAACTTGTCAAGCTCGGCTATGGGCTAAGTTTAACTACTGTTTGCTTAAGAACCAACCCTAAACCCTAAACCCTAAACCCCAAACCCGAAACCCTAAACCCTAAACCCTAACTTCTAGGGCTTTTGGTGGGGACCTCGGGACTTAAACTGTCGCCCGGCGGCATCTCCGTCACGTCGGCCACGGCGTGGAAGATCAGCTTCCGCCGCCTTTTGAGGGGTTTAGGGTTTAGGGTTTGGGGTTTAGGGTTTAGGGTTTAGGGTTTGGGGTTTGGGGTTTAGGGTCTAAGGGTTAAGGGTTAAGGGTTTAGGGTTTAGGGCTTAGGGCTTAGGGTTTGTATGGCTCTTGAGGGCTTGAGGTAAGTTGAAACTGACTTGCTCTCGGAAGCTCTTCGGCATGATCAATCTTTCTGGTCAAGCCCTAAACTCATGGGTTTCCCTCCCCCCCTCTACCCTTACATGACCTGAATTAGGCTTCACTATCCCAAAATATAGGGGAACCCATGATAAACCCTAACCCCTAAAGTTCTGAGACATGACCAGAAACAAAGAGACACAAAAAACAAATTCTAAGGCGGTCTAGGTGCTGTCTGACAAACACCTTACACCCGAAACCCCAATCCCCTACATCCTGACCCTAAACCCAATTCCCTACACCGGGTGAACCCCAAATCCCAACCCGAAGCCCCTAATCCCCAAAACCCCAAACCCCTGAACCCTGCACCCGAAAACCCAAACCTTTCAAACCTCAAGCCGCCAAACCCCAAACCCCAAAACCCCCAAACCAGTAAATCCCAAATCCCTAAACCCCCAAACCCATAGACTAAACCTAAGTAACCCTCTTTTAAGGGCCCATACTTAGGGACCATGAAACTACACTAAGACTCGAAAAGGCCAAGAGAGTTTAGGGTTTCGGGGTGTCTATGCGCGCAATGAGCCCTTTCCGAAGGTTTAGGGCTTAGAGTGTTGAGTACGTCAACCCTCAGCCCAACGGCCCTCAACCTACTAAGTTCGCTGAGCCTTTAAGAGTAGGACATTGGTCTGAGCTTCAGCCTTTTCAGGAGGCTGGACCTGCGCTAAGCCCCTGAGATCGTCCCCAAACTCCCTCAGACCCTACATGAAAGCCTCATTTAAATGGCCAAGCCCCAAACCCAAACTCTACAATCCTGAAAATCTCGCCCTCCCGCCTGCCGCTGGCGGCGAGGACGCCCTTGGATCGGTACAGGCGGCCTGCAGGCGCAATCTAGGGTTTAGGGTTTTAGAACTGAGGATTTCGGGTTTATTCTTGGAAGGCGCGGATGCATCTTCACTTAACTGCTCGCTGCGCTTTTCGTCGGCTCATGCTTCTTTGACTCGGTTTTCGTGCAGACAAGCTGGGCATCTGCCAGCCACACTTTCGATATACCCGTGAGACGGCTAGACGTCGTAACGTCTCAAAACTCACACAGGAATGGAAATCACAACAGCAACAGCGCATTCACGCTGACCTGTCATAGCTGAGCTCAAATTCCATCTCGTAATACTTCGCAGCGATTGGCTCCAGCTGCTTGATTGCACGCTCGCAGAACCTGTACATCATAACCGCCTGCACAGCCGGCCCAGCTACATTGGGGACGATCTGGTCGAGGGTTTCTTTGACAAAAAATTGCCTGCCCAAAGCTGCCTCCATCATTGTCGTGTTTTTCAACCGTGTCAAATACTCCTTGGTGAGGCCAAACTGTTTCATGAACACCTTTACCAGCCTCCTTCGGTGAACGTAGATGAGCCCCGGAAGCTCACTGGAAAAGGCACCAGCAATGCAGTGGCCACCGACGATTTCCATGCAGGCTGCTGCCCTGAGACGCGCAAGCACTTTCGCATTCTTTTGGAATATGGCTTGTGTCTGGGCTCTCTTTGCCTCGTCACGGATCTGCATCTGAAGAGCATCTTTCAAGCGGTGGAATTCCTTCTGGTAGAGCTCCTTTGGGTCTTGGCGAACTGCCGAACCATACCTGGCTTCCACCAAGAAAAGCCGAGACTCCTCTTCAAAGATGCTGTATGTGTTGCCTGCCAATGAAATTTGGCGCAAAGCTGTGTCGCGAATGCTTTGGAAAGCTTCCGACAGGTCGCTGGCATTTCCGTCTTCGACCTCATCTTTGCAAGCGGTGCCAACTTTGTTGCGAACGAGGAAGGTGGGAACCTTGTGGTCGCACTGCAACATGCGGGCGCACTCGAGCATTCGGGGCTCCAGCACCGTTGTATACACAAAAATGCAGGCATCGGCTTCGTGCAACTTGTACTTGTTGATGTAATCCTTGCCCATGGTTGCTGTCTCGATGCTGCCTTCACACCCAGGCAAGTCATGCAGGCGCATGCCCAAAAAACTGTACGTCGTATCTTCTGTGGTGGTCTCGTCTGCGCCGACTGTTGCAGCTTCAGCATCCGAAGGTTTGAGGCTGCGCAAGCTGTTGACCAAGGTTGACTTCCCAACGCCGCGCTTACCAATGAAACAGATGCGGATGGGCGGGGCAGCGCACAAATCCTTAACGAGATTGTCGACTTCTTCCTCCCAGTCATCGGCACTGAAGCCATCCTGCTTGAAAATGCCTATTGCCCCCTCCGCAGCCTCAGCTTGGGCTCGACGGCCAGAACGTGTCCAGGAGCGGGCAAGACCACAAAGGCAAGAAGTGAAGCCATCTGAGCGAGAAGCCCGGGCTGAGCCTGTCTTGCCCATGTGGGTGTGTGCATTGGAGCGGCGAGGCAGCTCTGTCAGGCGAGCGACCGCAATGATGCCAACCAAGGACTGCCATCTCCGCGGACCCTATTGAGACACACGCCTTCTTGCGCACTGCGCACCTCGTTGAGCCATCGAGGGGTCCAGGGGAGTTCGGTGACAAGGCGTTGAAGACGCATTGTAGACCATAGTCCCTAAAACAAAGGTACCTATGAAGTGGAGTTCTTCACCCTAGCATCCCCCAAAGAGACACCCAGCGTGCGAGTGTATAAAAATATGGATACGCTGAGAATTGTAAGCTCACCAAAGCCCTAAAGCCTAAAGCCTAAACCCTAAACCCTCAGCCCTAAACTCTTCATCCCTCTCACTTTGCTGCCTTTCTCCTTTGGTAGGGTGGCGATGATGCGGATCCACCTTTCAATGCGGAGGGTCTTCGGGGCTTCGAGTTTTCGAAGGCCTAGGGGTATATTTGGGTGGCTGTCGAGATCATAATCCCTTTTGGGGGTACCCTAAATATTAGGTGCCGCAGTATAATAGGGATCCAAAAAGGGACCATAATTTTGACAACCACCTATCTTTGAGACGTGTACCTGAGGGTATGTCGTAGGGCTACCTAGGGTTTAGGGTTAGGGTCCAGGGATTTAGGGGCCGAGGGTGCTGTGCGCTTGGCACGTCGGCCCCCAGCTCTTCCCGAAAGTTGAGCAGCGAACGTTCAAACTTTACCCCAAACGGTTGTAGAGCCCTAATCGGTCCCTGTACACCGCACCCAGATCTGAGCCCATGAGCTGGGGTCTGCCCCCCAAAGGAAGGGGGCATGACCCTCAACCCTGAACCCTACACTCTAGACCCAAAACCCGTAGGCCTTGGACCCTAGACCCTAACCTACTAATTAATTGCTTAAGAACCCATTTAAAAAATAATGAAAACACCTTCCTTTTTAAGGGTAATATGGGGGTTTTTATTTTGCATTCTTTTGGGGTTCTTCAGCAAATAGTAGTAACTGCCTCCTTGGACTCCCCTCCCATGGTAAGTAAGCTGCGGAATCCAGAGGCTCCTGCCGCGCGAACGCCAGCGGCTCCACCTCCATACCCTTGCGGACCTCTCAGGGTTTAGGGTTTAGGGTTTAGGGCTTAGAGTTTAGAGTTTAGGGTTTAGCATTTAGCGGTTGGGTTCTTTGTGGGTCTTGGGGTTGTTCCCTGGGGAATAGAAGCCCTATTGCCCTAACCTTTCTCAGGGGACTTTGAGCCCGACCTCGAATTCCCAAGGTCTAGTAAAAACCCTCAACCTGGACTGTTGCACTCCCAAACCCCACGCCTCGAATGCACTCCTAAAGTAGGGTTTAGGGTTTAAGGTCTAGGGTCAAGCTAAGTCCTCAGATCCTTCCTGACTCCCCAAGAGACCGATGCATGTTGGCACGCACGGTCCGGGATTGGGGTTTTATGGTCCAGTGTTGGGAAGCACGAAGGGAAAAATCATAAAAGCGACCCGTGCAAGAGCCAAGAAGAGGGGTCACAACCAAAATTTAGACCCTAGACCCTAGACCCTTAACCCTCAACCCTAACCCTAGACCCTAAACGCAATCCCTGAAACCTAACCCCCGAACTTGTCCAGAAGACCCAAACCTAAAAAACCCCAAACTCCAAGACCCTAAGCCCTAAGACCCCCCGCCCCACAAACTCCCCACCCCTAAGCCCTGAACCGTATACCCTAAACCCTAAACCCCTAAACCCTAAATCCTAAACCCTAAACTCTGGGGTCCCTGGCGATGCTAAAGCTACCAATCTGCGTGTTGTGGCGCGAGCTCTCGTGCCCATGACCTCGGGCGTCGACGTGTTGGAGCTTCGCGTTACTAAGGGGTCGTAAGGGCTACAGGGTTTAGGGTTTAGATTTTTTTGTTTTTAGGGTTTAGGGTTTAGGGTTTAGGGTTTAGGGCTTAGGGTTTAGGGTTTAAAGCTTCAGGACCTGTGAAGGGCTTAGCAATCAGTTCGGCCCGCGAAAGGGCAGGCTCCAGAGGTTCGAACTTAGGGGCTCAGGGTTCGGGGTTTAGGGATTCGGGATTCGGGGCTTCTAACTAGGAACCCTAAACCCTAAACCTTAAACCCCAAAAAGGGGTTTATGGATGAAGGTCTCGGCAGCCCACTTGCAGGTTCAGGGTACGTATGACCCAATTATACTGTACTGATCACCCACTTAGAAGCCCCTTAAGTGCCCTAGTATGGCTAGATGCTATTTCTGAGTTGTATTAATACCGCTACAAGTACCCTGAACCTCTAAGCAGTAACCCAAGGTTGTGATTAGTGTAACAAATCAAGAGAGGAAGGTATTGCTGCGGGATGCTGCCAGAGGTTAGTTAGGGCGGTGTTGCTGCTGGGTGGTTTAGAGGGTTTTAGGGTTTTAAGGCTTTAGGGCTTCCCTAAACCCTACCTTGCCTAAGAACCCCCCAGAAAGAAATCCAAGATGAGAATACTTATTGCCCTTGTAAGAAAGAGTGTTTTGGTCTTGTGGGTTGAAGTTGGGATGTTCCCCCTTACACTAACAGTCCTTAATTGGGATTATGGTAGGGGGTACTATAATCCCCATGAAGGACGGCATAGGGGGGGAGCAGACGGTTTTTGGGTTAATGCTACCCCCCCCCCCCCCCCCCGCCCCCCCGAATAGGTATCCTGGACAGCTCAAATCTGGCAGGTTTAGGGTTGAGGGTTGAGACCTCAACCCACAATAACCTACACCCTGGCCCTGCCCAGGCCTCAACCCACGAACTGCCCTAGACTGCAAAACTCCCTCCCCAGAAACAGCCTGACGATAGTTAGGCAGGTGGTGGGTTTTGAAGCTAAACCCGAAACTTAACCCTAAAATCAAAATCCTATACCCTAAGCCCTTAACACTGAAACCCCCATATCCCCCAAAAAAACACTAAACCCTAAAAACCTAAAAACCCAAAAACCCAAAAACCCAAAAACCTAAAAGCCTAAAAGCCTAAAAACCTAAAAGCCTAAAAACCCTAAAAGCCTAAAAACCTAAAACCCTAAAAACCTAAAAACCTAAAAACCTAAAAACCTAAAAAACCTAAAAAAATAAAAACCCCAAACCCCAAACCCCAAACCGCAAACCGCAACAAACATGTCTTAGTTCCCGACCATGCCCCTGGCCATGCCCCTCAGCGCCTGTTCCGCTGGTCTTCGAGGGCTGTATAGGGTTCAGGGTTGACGGTTTAGGGTTCAGGGTTTCGGGTTTAGGGCTCCTAGGGTTCAGCATTTAGGGTTTAGGGTTTCGGGTTTAGAGTTGAGGGTTGCAAGTTTAGGGTTCCGAGGTAATGAGGGCGCCCACACCTTGAACCCTAAACCCTAAACCCTAAACCCTAAACCCTAAACCCTAAACCCTAAACCCTAAACCCTAAACCCTAAACCCTACATCTTCTGCCTCTTCCTTTCCAGGTTCAAGGGTTGTCGTATGTCGTGCTCAACCTTAAAGCAACCCTCTGAACTCTAAAGCCTTCAGCCCAGTAGTGGGTCAGAGCGGATCAGGGCTTAGGGTGTAGGCTTTTTGGGGTTGAGGGTTTAGGCGTTAGGGCGGTTTAGGGTTTAGGGTTTAGGGTTTAGGGTGTAGGCTTTTTGGGGTTGAGGGTTTAGGCGTTAGGGCTTAGGTTTTATAGGGTTTAACCGACGCGGCCCTGGCGTTGAACCAGCTGTTGAGGAGCCCTCAGGCTCCTGCTGTCCCGGCCGCCTCTACCAGATGTTGCCACCTTTTGCTTCCAGGAAGGACGAGCTGCCTGAGTTTAGGGTTTAGGGTTTAGGGTTTAGGGTTTAGGGTTTAGGGTTTAGGGTTTAGGGTTTAGGGTTTAGGGTTTAGGGTTTAGGGTTTAGGGAGGCACTCAGCAGTGGTCAAAGGCCCGTCCGTCCCAGAGGACCGAAGGCTCCTGGCGGCTGGTGCAGGAGGTCGACGTTGGTGCGGGATTTGCGCGTTGCATTCGACACAAAGAAACATCCGGGCGTGCATTGTGGCAACCGCATACTCAAGCTCTTCCCGGGTTCAGGGTTTAGGGTTCAGGGTTGCTGTCCATAGACAGATGGCAATCCAAATCCCGAAAAACCCTAAACCCTGAGCCCCTGAAAGCCTAAACCCCTACACCCCCAAACCCGAAACCTTAAAGTCTACGCGCCTACAGCCAAAAACCCCTAACCCCCAAACCCCTAAAGCCCGAAACCCGACATCCCTGAACCCCAAAGGTTGAGGAGTTTTTGACCGAGGTGGATTTGAGGTTCCGCGCCTACACCCAGAAACCCTAAGTTTGTCTTATTTGCGGAGATTCGCGCCCGTGCCCTAAACCCTAAAACCTAAAACCTAAACCCTAAACCCCAAACCCTCAAAAAAAAAAACCGACACCATGCTAAGCTCTCTGGCCGTGGCCGCCATGGCCGCCGTGGCCGGAGCCGTGGTCCTCCACTGGAAACTGTGTGTTTGTTTATTATTATTATGGTTAGTATTATTATTATTATTACTACCATTATTATTTTGATTATCATTTTTTTTATGTATCTCTCTCTCTCTCTCTTCATGTTTTGTTTTTGTTTCTTTCTTTCTTTCTCTCTCTCTCTCTCTCCATCTTTTCTTTAGTTTTTTGTTTTTGCCTTGTGTTTGTTTTTTTTTTGGGGGGAGGGGGAGCGTTTCGGGTTTAGGGAGGCTTTCCTGGCGACCATGGGGAGTCTAGGAATGTGAGGTTCAGGGTTTAGACTGGGTCTGAGGTTTGTGGGGGGGGGGGCGGGGGGGGGGGGGGGGGGGGTGGGGGGGGGGGGGGGTGGGGGGGGGGGGGGGGGGGGGGGGGGCGGGGGGGGGGGGGGGGCGGGGGGCAGGGGGGGGGGGGGGGGCGGGGGGGGGGGGCGGGGGGGGGGAGGGGCCCGGGGGTGTGGGGGGTGGGGGGGGAGGAGGAGGAGGAGGAGTCCAGCGGTTTAGGATTTAAGGGCCCCTGAGCCCCGAAACCCAAATCCTAAAACCACATCCTA